AGACTAACGAAGTGCTCCTGGACTGTTACTCTTCTCTACTGCTACGGACAGGCTGACATGGCTACTCATCTTGATCTTCTCTCTGGCTGCAGATCCAGAACCTCACATTCGATTTAAGACCCATTGAGGGCATCAAGTCCAAAAGCCAGATTTTCTGACAGAACAGGATTTGGCCAGCGAGAAATCTGAAGTGGAGGAGAACAGCAAAATAGTCCCAAATATACTGAATCCACCAATTATTGTTTAATTTTGTCATCCAGAAATTGCTTAGACGCCCACAAGTTGGCAGAAAAGCAGGTTTCACATTTTTTGGAATAAATGAAATAAATGGCACATCAAACATCATTCGCCAGTTATCAAATACTGGAATTAGATCTCTGATCAAACACAGGTATCAAATATTGGGTGGGTATTCGAGCATCCAGACTTTATTGGGAGAATATTTGATATCAAAAATTGCTGAACGGAAGAGGAGAAGAAGAGGAAGAGATTGGATGTATACCCTGCCCTTCACTACACGAGGCAGTCTCAGAGCGACTTACGATCTCCTTTCCCTTCCCCTCCCCACAACAGACACCCTGGGAGGTGGGTGGGGCTGAGAGAGCTGTGACAGAACTGCTCTTTCCAGAACAGCTCTGAGAGAACTTGTGTCTGATCCAAGGTCACACCAGCAGCTGCATGTGGAGGAGTGGGGAGTCAAACCCGGTTCTCCCAGTTTAGAGTCTGTGCTCCTAACCACTACACCAAACTGGCTCTCCGGAGCTGGAGGAGAATGTGGCGGGAGCGCATTCATTTGGTTTTTCATTTCAAACAGGACAGACAGTTCGGATTGGAGGGGCATTATCCAAGGCATATCTCCTCAGAGATTCCCACACACCGACAACTATGCATCGACATGGAATCTGGTGGCCCTCATAAGGGCCGAAAGGCATGCTACAAATTTCTTGAATAAAAATAAAATACAAACGATATTTGACAGACAGGGGGTGATGTTTTTGCTGTTCAGTCGCACAGTCGAGTCTGACTCTCCGCGACCCCATGGACCAGATCACGCCAGGCCCTCCTGTCTTCCGCCGTCCTCTGAAGTTTGCTCAACTTCATGTTCGTTGCATCTATGACACTGTCTAACCATCTCATCCTTTGCCGTCCCCGTCTTCTTTGACCTTCAATCTTTCCCAGCATCAGGGTCTTCTCCTCCAGTGAGGGCTCCCTTCTCATTGGGTGGCCAAAGTATTTGAGCTTCAGTTTCATTCTCTGGCCTTCCAGGGAACAGTCAGGGTTGATTTCTTTTAGGATTGCCTGCTATTTGCCGGTGAGAACTAGAAAGGAGCAGTCTGCTGGGGGGGGGGGGTTTGATAGCTGGGAGCTCTGGCTGTAGATGCCTGCTTCTTGCGCAGCTGTTTCAGGACATGAGGCCTCCTCCCACCCACCCCCATTGCAAAAAGAAACCGCCCATTGCTAGAGAACAGTCAAAGCTGATGTCCATACCCACTAAAGTCCATAGTAAAGTTACAATTGCTTAAGGTATCACAGAGAACGAGCCCCTCCTACTGGCCACGAGCAGTACTGCAACAATAACAAAGCTCCTTCTTTGGAGGTTTTCACGTAGAGGCTAGACGGACCTCTGACAGCCATGCTGATTCTGTGAACTGGGGCAGATTCTGAGAGGGAGGGCAGGAAGGGTTGCCTCAGTGCTTAGTTCTCGTGGCCCTTTCTTGCACGCCCAGGGAAATGCTGATCGCCCCTTTGGGGTCAGGAAGGAATTTTTCTCCAGGCCACGTGGGGGTCACTGGGGGTGTGGAGGGGGAGGTATTTGTGAATTTCTTGCATTGGGCAGGGGGTTGGACTAGATGACCCTGGAGATCCCTTCCAACTCTGTGATCCTTTGATTTATGGGAATTGCCCAGTTGGTCTGCTTACCTGTTGTATCAACTTTGTTCCACGTCTTACATCACTATATGCTTCCTGTGTGTAACTCTGCTGTACGATAAATAATAATAAAATTACACAGGTCTTTGATGTAGGAAGCTTTGACTCTCAAAAGCATAGGCCTTGGAAATCTTCAAGGGGTCGCAGTGTCAGTCTGCCTCCAGCAGTAGAAAAGGGCACCTGAAAAGACTAACAAAATTCGTGGCAGAGTGTGAGCTTTCGTGAGTCACTGCCCACTTCTTCAGATGTCGGAAGAATATAGATCAAGATGTAAATAGGTCAGGTAGCCCTGTCATAAGTCTGGGATGTGGAGGGGTGCCCTCCCGTCTTCTGTCTCGGCTCTCCCTGGCTCACCAACTGTTTGCTGTCTTATACTTGATCTTGTAGATGTTACAGCTGTGGTTTTCTCGGCTGGGAAAGTTAACGGCTTTTTGCTTTGCCTGCTTGCTTTGCCCGTGCGCGCAAAACATATCCATTGGCTTATGCTTACAGGGGGGGATGTTTGATTCTAGTATAAGTCAGAGGCCCTTGGTGTAGTGCCAGTTTGGTGTAGGGGTTAAGTGCGCGGACTCTAATCTGGGAGAACCAGGTTTGATTCCCCACTCCTCCACTTGCAGCTGCTGGATGACCTTGGGCAAGCTGTTGTTCTCTCAGAGCTGTTCTCTCAAGGACAGTTCTGTCAGAACTCTCTCAGCCCCACCTGCCTCACAGGGTGTCTGTCGTGGGGAGGGGAAGGGAGAGGAGTTTGTAAGCTGCTCTGAGACTCCTTCGGGTTGTGAAGGGCCAGGTATAAATCCAATCGCTTCCTCCTCCTCCTCCTCCTCCTCCTCCTTCTGCTTCTTCATCATCTCTGGCCTGGGGAATTCCCGGAGATTTGGAGGTGGAGTCTGAGGAAGGCTCCTGAGAATGGGGGGGGGGACTTCAGTGGGGTCCAAGGCCACAGAACCCACCCTCCAAAGCAGCCATTTTCTGCAGGGGGAACTGATCACTGCCGTCTGGAGATCAGTTGTACTTCTGGGAGGTCTCCAGCTCCATCCTTGAGGCTGGCAACCAGGGGAGGAGGAGGAGGCCCCACTCCCGCCCTTTCCTGAATCACTCTGTTCCCAGCCTTCCAGTTTGTAAGCCAGGATCCATCCTTCCTTCCTTCCTTCCTTCCTTCCTTCCTTCCTTCCTTCCTTCCTTCCTTCCTTCCTTTCCGGAAATTTTCCATCTCTTCTCGAGGCAGGGCCCAGGAACGTCCTGGAATTACATGTGCTCTTCAGACTAGAAAGATCAGTTCCCCTGGAGAAAATGGCTGCTTTGGAGGGTGGCATTCTACCCCACTGAAGTGTCTCCCCTTCCCAGACCCCAGCCTCCCCACAGGCTCCACTACAAGAAGACGACGAGGAGGAGGAGATTGGATTTGCACCCCACCCATCACTACCCGAAGGACTCTCAGAGCTGCTTACCATCTCCTTCCCCTCCCCTCCCCTCCCCACAACGGACACCCTGTGACTTTGGAAGTAGGTGGGACTGAGAGAGCTCTTTGGGGGACGGCCCTTGAGAGAACAGCTCTGAGAGAACTTGCGACTGACCCAAGGTCGCTCCAGCAGCTGCATGTGGAGGAGCGGGGAATCAAACCCGGTTCTCCTAACCACTACAGCAAAGAAGGCTCCACCACAACCCTCCAGAGGAACCGGTTGTCCGCTGTGTGAGACAGGTTGCTGGTCTGTTCCAGCAGTGCTCTTATATTCTTATGAAGGCCTCGGCCTCTCTGCCCTGTTGTGGGCCCTCCAGAGGAACTGGCTGGCCACTGTGTGAGGCAAGAGGCTGGACTAGAGGGACTCTCACTGGTCCGACCCAGCAGGGCACTTCTGAAGTTCTTATGAAGGCCTCGGCCTCTGTGCCCTGTTGTTGTCCCTCCAGAGGAACTGGTTGGCCACTGTGTGAAACAGGTTGCTGGACTGGATGGACCACTGGTCTGATCCAGCAGGGCTCTTCTGATGTTCTAATGAAGGCCTCAGCCTCTCTGCCCTGCTGTTGGCCCTCCAGAGGAACTGGTTGGCCACTGTGTGAGTCAGGATGCTGGACTAGATGGACCCCTGGTCTGATCCAGCAGGGCTGTTCTGATGTTCTTATCAGGGGAAGGTCTCGGCCTCTCTGCCCTGTTGTTGGCCCTCCAGAGGAACTGGTTGGTCACTGTGTGAGGCAGGATACAGGACTGGATGGACCACTGATCAGATCCAGCAGGGCTCTTCTTATGGTCTAACGAAGGCCTTGGCCACTATATGCCCTATTGTTGGCCCTCCAGAGGAACTGGTTGGTCACTGTGTGAGGCAGGATACAGGACTGGATGGACCACTGATCAGATCCAGCAGGGCTCTTCTTATGTTCTAGTGAAGGCCTCGGCCTCTCTGCCCTGTTGTTGGCCCTCCAAAGGGTCAGCGCGACCCTGAGTGCAGATTTCCTAACACCCCACCACCCCAAATTTTCTGGCTGTGCCCCTGCTGTCAGGTACAATGGAAACTTTGAAGTCCTCAAAAACCAGAATAGTCAGGCCAGCATGGATGCTCTGAGGCATCATAGTCTGGCCAACCGTGACAAAAGGATGGCACAGCTCCCGGCACTCGGCACTCCTCAGGGATGTGACCGCCTTTGATTCTTAAGAACATAAGAACATAAGAGATGCCAATGTTGGATCAGGCCAAAGGCCCATCCAGTCCAACACTCTGGGTCACACAGTGGCCAGAAATACCAGGTGCCCTCAGGAGGTCCAGCAGTGGGGCCAGGACATTAGAAGCCCTCCCACTGTTGACCCCCCCAAGCACCAAGAAGACAGAGCATCCCTTGCCCCAGAGCCCCTATCTATACCTTGTGGCTAATAGCCACTGATGGACCTCTGCTCCATATGCTTATCTAATTCCCTTTTGAAGCCGTCCATGTTTGTAGCCGCCACCACCTCCTGTGGCAGTGAATTCCAAGTGTTCATCACTCTTTGGGTGAAGAAGGACTTCCTTTTATCCGTTCTAACCCGACCGCTCTGCAGTTTCATGGAGTGCCCACGAGTTCTTGTATTGTGATTCTTGTTGCAGGTGGTGCGGGATCAGATCTCTCACTGCACGGTGAAGCTACGCCAGACAACGGGCCTGATGGAGTATTGTCTGGAAGTCATCAAGGAGAACGACCCCAGCGGATTCCTGCAGGTGGGGGGACGATTCTGTTCTCTTTGCATGTTCCTTTGGGGGGGGCGGAGTCAAGAGTCACGGGAAAAGAAAAAGTGGAAAGGAGCAGGAAAAGAGGAAGACCCAACATGAGATGGATAGACTCCGTCAAGGAAGCCGCGGCCGTCCGTTTGCACGACCTGATAATGAGAGGACATTGGGGGGGGGGTCATCGTTTCATAGGGTCACCACAAGTCAAAAGCAGCGTTCCTTCTAAGCTGAGCTAGTGTGAGCCAGCTCACAGTTTTTTAGCCTCCGGCTCACACCTTTTTGTCTTAGCTCAGGAAGGGATGGCTCCAGCGCAAACTGATTGATGCAGCAGCCAAATCGCTCACTCCCAACTTTAATGCTGGTAGCTCAGAAAGTAGAGTTTTTGCTCACCGTACTCCACTGCTTAGAGGGAGCCTTGGTCAAAAGGGACTTGACCACATTTTAACACGCACGTGGTGTGTAGGGGAAGAGATACTAAAGATGGAGTACGGACCAACTGTCAGCCAAACCAGTGGTTATGTAGTAGTAGTAGCATAGATTTATTGTATGTCGCCAAAGGCCCTCATAATGAAAGATTAAGAACATAATGATAAAAATTATTCAAACAGAACTAAGAACAGCATTAAAAATACAGGATAGAAGATAAGTTACAAGAGCAAATTAGTGTTAGATTACGAAGATAAAATACAGTTGGGGGTCAGCCTTAATAAACCTAATTAGCCCGGTCAATTATAAATATTGATTCACAATGAAATTATAAACATCGAAAATAAATCTGGTAAGTAATGAAAAATAATTATCTGCTGAGGCAGCAAACTTGGCCCTGAGTTATTTTGTAGCCAGGGCTAAGAGAGTTCTGAGCCTAGAAGTCTTTAAATTCTTCCTTTGCTCCAAAACATAGATCGTATGGAGACATTGCCTCTTTTATTAGAAGATAATAGCAGACCTATCACTCTTCCAGCTGCAAAATTTTGTGCGTTTGTGATAGATTTTCGCAGCCATTCAAATGTGGTCTAGCTCTTTATATTTTAGTAATCTGCTTACAACTAAGAAGTTAAGAAGCCATAAGAGGTAGGTAGGTAGGTAGGTTGGTAGGTAGGTAGGTAGGTAGAGAAAGAGAGAGAGAGGTGATGGATGTAGACAGACAGACAGATTATGGATGATAAAGAGATGGATGGATGGTTGGATGGTTGGATGGATAGATAGATAGATAGATAGATAGATAGATAGATAGATAGATAGATAGATGATTGATAGATGATGATGATAATGGTAGGTAGGTAGGTAGGTAGATAGATGATAGACAGACAGACAGATGATGGATGATAGATGATGGATGATAGATTAGATAGATAGATGATAGATAGATGATAGATGATAGATGATGGATGATCGATAAATGATAGATTGCAGGGCTCTTTTTGTAGAAAAAGCCCAACAGGAACTCATTAGCATAATAGGCCACACCCAACAGCAGAAACTCATTCGCATATTAGACCACACCCCATGACAGTGCAGTTCATTAGCATATTAGGCCGCACCCCCATGTTACTTGAAGTGTGGTCATCCAGCCACACCCACCTTTTGCTTCTTATTCTGTTTACTTTGTTTATTGTCAAAACCCAGGGCCTTTTTTTGTAGCAGGAACTCCTTTGCATGTTAGGCCACACACCCCTAATGTAGCCAATCCTAATGAGTTTCTGCTGTTGGGTGTGGCCTGTTATGCTAATGAGTTCCTGCTGGGCGTGGCCAATTCGGGAGCCAGACGGAACTCCGTTCCTGTGCGTTCCTGCCCCAAAATAGCCCTGGATAGATGATGGATGATAGATAAATAGATGATAGAAAGATGGTTGATAGATAGATGATAGACGGTGGATGCTAGATGGACAGATGATGGATGATAGATGATAGATAGATAGACAGACAGATAGAATTTTAAGAAATGCTCTGGGAAAGCGTGGATAAAGACCAATTAGAAGCCCTGTTCAGAAGGCACCCCATCTGGCTCCACCCACTTTCTAAAAAAAATTAGAGGGCACCCTGACGCCCATGGGCACCGCGTCGGGGAACCCCGCAGTACACATTTATTCCCGGCACATGTTTATCATTATCTGCCCTACGTGCTTATTCTCGCATCTCCTCCGCCATCAGATCTCCGACGCGCTTATCCGGAGGGTCCACCTGACCGAGGATCAGTGGGGGAAGGGGACGCTCTCCCCGAGGATGACGACGGACTTTGACCTGAACTTGGACAGCGCACCGCTGCTGCAGTCCATCCACCAGCTCGACTTCGTACAGATGAAAGGTACAGGCGCTTAGGAAGACCTCGAAAACCCGAGGCCGCTCAGTTCGCAGCGCTGGAGGCCAAAAATCCAAACTAAACAAGTTATAGGCATAAATAGAGCGGTAAGATCAAAAACTCTATTGGAAGAGCACGTGTTGTGGGGGAGGGGCTGGGATACAATGGAAGAACATCTGCTCGGCATGCAGAAGGGTCCCAGGTTCGATCCCCGGCATCTCCAGTTAAAAGGGCCAGGCAGGAGGTGATGGGAAAGACCTCCGCCTGAGACCCTGGAGAGCTGCAAAGAGGGGCTGTGGCTCAGTGGCAGAGCCTCTGCCTGGCATGCAGAAGGTCCCAGGTTCAATCCCCGGCATCTCCAGTTAAAAGGACCAGGCAGGAGGTGATGGGAAAGACCTCCGCCTGAGACCTTGGAGAGCTGTAAAGAGGGGCCATGGCTCAGTGGCAGAGCATCTGCTTGGCATGCAGGAGGTCCTAGGTTCAATCCCCGGCATCTCCAGTTAGAAGAACCAGGCAGGAGGTGATGGGAAAGACCTCAGCCAGAGACCCTGGAGAGCTGTAAAGAGGGGCCGTGGCTCAGTGGAAGAGCCTCTGCTTGGCATGCAGAAGGTCCCCGGTACAATCCCCGGCATCTCCAGTTAAAAAGGACCAGGCAGGCGGTGATGGGAAAGACCTCAACCTGAGATCCTGGAGAGCGGCTGCCTGTCTGAGTAGACAATGCTGACCTGGATGGACCAAGGGTCTGATCCGGAAAAGGCAGCTTTATGCATCTACTGAATGGGGGGGGGGGGGCTGGTGAGGAATCCCTGATTGTGTAGGGCATCTAAACCACCACCACCCCCAATTTGGGGTCTAAGACAGTGAGGGCTAGGCTATAGGAAGGGAGGGGCAAATTTTGCCCCATTGAGAGATTGTTCTTCAGGGCAGTGTTTGACTTGCCACCATAAGAAGGAGTGGCAGCCAGTTGCTTGCCCAGGGGTTTACTCAGGGACTTCTCTAGCAGGGGGGTGAGGGTTGCCAACATCACCCGGACGTGACCTCATCACGTCAAGGATGTCACGCAGCGACACTCCCAGAAGGCCCCCCAGATCCCCCCCGCCGGCAAGACAAAGGGACCTGGCAACCCTAGGCTAGCGCCTGGGAGACCCAGATTCAAACCCCCAGTTGTGCCATGGCAGCTTGCTGGGTGTCCTGGGGCCGGTCCCACACTCTCATCCTCACCTACCTCGCGGGGTTGTTGTGAGGATGACATTGTTGTACATATTAGATTCCATGTCAAAAACGAAGTCAAATGAGGAGGAAGATCTATGTTTTATTTCGATTCACAGAAAAAACAATTGGACCAAATAGTCCGTCCATAATTGACTACTTCCTTCTCAGCATATTTAGGAAATAGGCTTCAATTAACAGGAAAACAATTAGACCCAATAGTTAATCCGAAATTGACAACTTTCTTCTTTTTCTTCTTCATCTTCTCCTTGAACCTATTCTGAACATATTCGGGTAATACACGATATTTTATACATGGACTGACATCATCAAGAAGACAATATTCAAAAAACATAATTGGTTACAAAAGACAGTGGTGATTTGAGTAATAATCCTCTGATTGGCCAGATATAAAGAAACATATATCTACGTCAAACTAAGTGTTTACTTAACCTAATCTAAATGATAATGGGCAAGGATTCTTCATATCCCAAACAAAAGTATTCATTACTGATACGAGACTAAAATCTTATCTGACCCAGACGTTGAAAGGTTTGCCCTAAGAACTACAGAATCATGAACTTTGTACCTATTATGTTGTCTGCTAACAATATCAGACCTACAAGAGGAAAGCCTTCTATATAACAGGCCTTTCTAACATCCTAATAAAATATGACTTAAAGAATAAATCTATCAAAACCAGAGAAATATGTATACAAACAATCAAGAAGGAAAAAACCTATATATAAAAATCTTTATATTCCCATTCAGACTACTACATGGAGGCAAGGAGAATGATGGAAGCTGCTTTGGGTTCCCGTTGGGGAGACAGGCGGGGTACAAATGAATTAAATTCCTTTACTAAGAGGGAGGTCAGCAGCGACGTAATGTCATGGATTCCTCCCTCTGAAGCGACCCTTTCCTCCAGTGGAGCTAATCACTGTAGTCTGGAGACCGGTTGTAACTGCAGGTCCCACCTGGAGGTTGGCATCCCTAGCTACCCAGGGCTCTTCTTGTAGCAGGAACTCCTTTGCATATTAGGCGACACACCCCTAATTTAGCCAATCCTCCAAGAGCGTACAGTAGCCCCTGTCAGAAGAGCTCTGAAAGCTCTTGGCGGATTGGCTACATTAGGAGTGTGTCCGCCTAATATGCAAAGGAGTCCCTGCTACAAAAAGAGCCCTGATTCACACCCCTAATGTAGCCAATCCTCCAAGAGCTTACAGTAGCCCCTGTCAGAAGAGCTCTGTAAGCTCTTGGCGGATTGGCTACGTTAGGGGTGTGTCCGCCTAATATGCAAAGGAGTCCCTGCTACAAAAAGAGCCCTGCACCCCTAATGTAGCCAATCCTCCAAGAGCTTACAGTAGCCCCTGTCAGAAGAGCTCTGTAAGCTCTTGGCGGATTGGCTACATTAGGGGTGTGTCCGCCTAATATGCAAAGGAGCCCCTGCTACAAAAAGAGCCCACACCCCTAATGTAGCCAATCCTCCAAGAGCTTACAGTAGCCCCTGTCAGAAGAGCTCCTGCTACAAAAAGAGCCCTGCAAGCCCACCTTCATCACCCTTTGGCTACCCCAGCTTGGCGCAGCATTGCACTGTGGGACTTCAGCACTGTTGCTATCCTGTCGGCTCCCGAACAGAGGTTCGCTCTCTCCCGGCTTGCTTTTCGTCCATTAAAATGTTCCGAAATCGCCTGCGAATTTCGACCAAGCGAATCCTTGTCGAGCCCAGAGGCTAAAGATTCCCATTGTGGCTGGCGGGAGAAGTCGGGGTTACACTAATGTCTGTTTAGCTTCCTCCCCAGTGCCGGCCGCCCCGATCCTGCAACTGGAAGAATGCTGCACCCATAACAACAGCGCCACCTTGTCCTGGAAGCAGCCGCCTCTCTCCACCGTGCAGGTGGACGGGTACATCCTGGAACTGGATGACGGGAACGGGGGGCAGTTCAGGGTGGGTATTGCAGAGAATTGGAATTCTGACAAAGCGTGGTTGAGTGCAGGAACAGAATGGCTCCTACAAAATGGCTCCTGCGGGAGGCGGAGCCAGCCGCAAAATGGCTGCCGTGGTGTGGTGTGGTGGCGGCTACTGCTAAAGCAACGTTTTTAAAAATCTGCACCGCCATCAAATCTCCAATGGCCAATAGGCCAACCCACTCTTTAAAACCCTTTGGTAGGCACCAGGAAAGGAGTCATGGCGCCCATGGGCACCTTTCCTGGTGCCTCCCAGTTTGGTGTAGTGGTTAGGAGCGCGGGCTCTAATCTGGGAGATCCGGGTTTGATTCCCCACTCCTCCACATGCAGCTGCTGGTGTGACTGTGGGTCAGTCACAAGTTCTCTCGGAGCTGTTCTCTCAAGGGCAGTCCTCAGGAGAGCTCTCTCAGCCCTCACACCTCCCAAGGTGTCTGTTGTGGGGAGGGGAAGGGAAAGGACATTGTGAGCCGCTCTGAGACTCCTTCGGGTAGTGAAAGGTGGGGTATAAACCCGATCTCCTCCTCTTCTTCTTCTCCCAAATGTTTTTAGAAAGCAGGTGGAGTCTTTGCCCAGCAAGGCTTCTGACTGGTCGTTGAAAATCTAATTGGCTGTCAAAAAATAATTAAAAGTTGCTTTGGCAGCAGCTGCCACCGCAGCACAAAACCTTCCCTTCAGTCATGCCGTGAAGCAGTGTGTATAGTTTTAAATGATATGTTCATCAAAAAGGCATCCTAGTAAACAGGTCTTCTGCCTGAAATGTTGACAAGTTACTATTAGAGTTCTGTGTGACTTCACCAGAGGTCATTTCGGGGGGGGGGGCCAGGAGGAGGCAGGAGAAGAGGTAGGGTAAGTTGCTTCCTCCCTGCCTCTCCCCACCCCTGGCTGCCTGGGGCCAGGGAGGGCCTTCGCGGTTCTTCCTTGCACTCCGTCCGGCCTTGCAGGTCCACCACCGGGCCCCTCATGGGGCTCGGCAGTGGAGCTGTAAGGCCGCCGCCGGCGGCCGGGACCGTTGGGGGCGGGGTGTGTGGCCTTATGACACACTTCCGGTGATGTCAGGGGGTGTGGCCTTATGGCACACTTCCGGTGATGTCAGGGGGTGTGGCATATGCTAATGAGTTATGCTAATGAGTTCCCCTAGCTCTTTTTCTACGAAATGACCCCTGGACCTCACTCCCTGACATGTTGTGGTTGGCTCCGCCTCTTGCTGGGTCGGTAGAAAGCCGTTTCCTCTGTTTGGCATCTAGGAGGTATACGTTGGGAAGGAGACCATGTGCACCGTGGACGGGCTTCACTTCAACAGCACCTACAGCGCTCGGGTCAAGGCTTTCAACAAAACCGGGGTCAGCCCCTACAGCAAGACGCTGGTCCTGCAGACCTCTGAGGGTAAGCCACAGCCGCAAGGGCCTTCTTCCGCGGGCAGCCGAGTGTCCCCATGAGCGTACACACCAAGGGTCCACTCTTTTAGGGGTGCGTGCATCGTTTGGCGCCGCCCCTTATCAGTAGTCCACTTGCAGAGTCGGGACGAAACAAACAAAAGAGGGGAAGTTGGACTGCAGGAATTATTTGCTTCCCTTTTGCCCTTAAAATGCGTCGTTCAAGAGGCCATGTTTTCTCGAGAAAGGAGCTGCTGTTCCAGAGGTGTCCCCCATCCTGGGTGGAAAGCAATTTGTCCCCCCCCCGTCACCTGCCTCGTGCCTTTCCCACACCCCGGCATTCCCTTTCTGCCTTCCTCCCAACGTCTTGATTCTTAAGCTCTCAGCCTCCCCCAAATACCGGAAGGATACCCTGTGGCAATATTATCAATATGAGTTTTTGATTGAGTGCTCCTATGCAGCTAGGAAAGTCACCGGTTGGTTTGCCCAGGCATTTTGCTCTGGGGATGTATATGTATATCTGCCTGGATATGGAATTTCTTGAGTCTTTTTGTCGGGTGTACATGCGTAAATATCAAAAAGGACAAAGAAGAAAAAAGGGGGGGAAACTGAACCTAAACCTAGAATTCAGAACCTAAAAAGGTTAGTCAGGCATAGAAAAGGGCCAACTCTAAAAATCTAATCATAAAATATACAAAAATATATATGTGTGTTTATTCAACATAAATTAAAATAACAAACAAGGGCCCATTCATACTTCATATAAAACTATAAAAACATACAAGGGCTAATAAGATAGACCTAATAAGATAGACCTAACGCGTTTTGGCCTTTACAGGCCTTCCTCAGAGGTCTAATACATACAGAACATATTGGCTGATGTGCAAAAATACATACAATTCTACATATACAAAATATGGAGTAAAGACCAGAAATCAATTGTTCCAAAGTTTAACCACTGGGCAAGGAAAAGAAATACAGAAATACAAATGAAGCCTCCAGTGAAATCACATGTCCAGTGGTATTTCTCTCTGGTCAACTGTATATTCATCTAAGGTTGTACAGCCAAATGTTCCAAATAAAATGTTCCTTAGGTTAAAAGCAGTGTTGATCAAAAAGGTGTTGGGCCTATATTAATTTATGTTGAATAAACACACACATATATTGTTGTATATTTTATGATTAGATTTTTAGAGTTGGCCCTTTTCTATTCATGCGTAAATATCACCATTTTTTACACAACAGGAAGAATGTCATTTTCTCAGCGCTGACTTTTGACCTGGATGTGATGGCACAGGGATGTGGCAAACGAGACATGATAGTACATCCCCGCTGAATGCCCTCCCCTCCTCGACCTCCAACCTCCCCAGTCAATGCCCCCCCCCCCCGATTTCCAGGAATTTCCCAAGACAGCCTTGACCACCCTAGCTAAGATTAACGTATTGTCTCCTAGACTAGGCCGAATCCTGTTGTCGCAACCAGGACACCAAGATCTTGCTTGCGATGGACTCTGGACCAACACATTGGTTATGGCTGCTTGAATTGCATTACCCTGGGTTTGATGACACCAATGTGAGACTTTGTTGTGCCTTCTCTCCTTGCCTGGTGCGGGTGGGAATGTGGCTCAGTGGCAGAGCACAGGCTTTGCCCGCAGAAGGTCCTACGTTCAGTCCCTGTCATCTCCAAACAAAAGACCTCAGTTGTGGGGAAAGACCTGTCTCTAACCTAGAATAGTGAGGAGGATCAGTCAGCAAACAGGTACTGAAGGACAGCAGGATTGGATCCAGTGGCGTTCAGAGCTCCTTCCATCTTCAGGTGGGATCCGATGGCTGCTACCCAACCGCCAGCTGCAAAGAATAACAGAGGGCAGTGCACTGAGTGGCCTTGCGTTATGCTGTTAGTCTTTTCCAGAAGAGATCTTGGCGGCCTGATTCAGACTCCTCTCTCCAGAAGCCTTCTTTATATGTCAGCTTCTGGTAACAAGAGGCGTTTCCGCATTCTCATTTTGTAAGTTCCTGTTTCTTTAAGGGGGGGGTCTGTTCTCGTCATATTTTGCTCCCTCTAGTGGTCGATTCGGTATTACACTGGTTTATGTCCAGCATATCTTCCTGCAGATTTAAACGGCCGGTTTTTTTATGCTGGACATAAACCACTGTAGTATCGAATCAACCACTAGAGGGAGGAAAACACGTGCAGAACAGGAAAAAATCCTGAGCGGAAAGGAATACTGGAAAATTCCGTGAACCGGTTGTAAGACAACAGGCCAGGCCGGTATTTGAGCCGGACAGTGTTGCAATGCTGTTCTTCTGCTGCAAAAATGTCCTCGACTGAATTCTCCTTTGCACAATCTTTGATCGAATATGGATTTGATAAGAACCACAAAGACTCATGGGGAAAACCACAGGGGGTGGGGGTGGTGAATGAGGGCTCCTGGATACCAAGACCGGGTTACGGTCTCCTTCTGCTTTGTGTCGCACTTTCTAGCCGATGCGGTTATTCCTGCACAATGAGGACTAGCCCTGTGCATTCTTGGTCAAACGGCAACAGGCAACTGGGACTCTCCAGTGCCGTAGAAGCTGTCTTGTGTGCTCTCTGGGACAGCATTTACTTTATATATTTTAATCATTTTTATCCCTTCTTTCGGCCCAATCAGGGCTCACGAGGCAGCAAGCATAAAAACGTAAAAACATTTCAGTAATTTAAAAATTAAAAATTGAGAGCCAGTTTGGTGTAGTGGTTAAGTGTGCAGGCTCTAATCTGGGAGAACCGGGTTTGATTCCCCACTCCTCCGCTTGCACCTGCCGGATGACCTTGGGCAAGCCATAGTTCTGCCAAGAGCTGTCCTTGAAAAAGAGCAGTTTCTGTCAGAGCTCTCTCAGCCCCACCTACCTCCCAGGGTGTCTGTTGTGGGGAGGGGAAGGGGAAGGAGTTTGTAAGCCGCTCTGAGACACCTTCGGGTCATGAAGGGCAGGGTATAAATCCAATCTCTTCTTCTAAAAATGCAGTTAAATTATTTGTTTGTTTATTTTTAATCTTTTTTTGAAATGTACTTACTTTTTAATAAGTAAAACATATCACAATAAAAACCCAGTGAACGCAATCAGTCTAAAAACAACTAAAACCAAGAACGGTTAATCAGTTAAGAGATGGTGAAAATATATATATAAAAATTATAAAAATTATTCAGTTAGAACACTTCAGTGCTAGGAAGAGAGCCAGGAACCATTATTGGGGGTATGCCAGATGAAACAAAGTAGTCTTTACCTGCTGGCGAAAGACACTGATAGAGGGAGACAGACGAAACTCCCTGGGGAGGGAGTTGCAAAGTTTTGGTGCCACCACCAAGAAGGCCGTGTCTCAGGTCACTGCTCATCTAGCTGCAGGTGTCAGGGACAACTGAAGGAGGGCCTCTGCAAATGACTAGAATGTGTGGGTAGGTCCAGTAAGCTCCTCCAACCCTGTTGCGTTTACACAGGAAAGGGCTCGTTGCCTCTTGCTGGAACTGCATCTCAGGTAATGCCCGAAAGACGGAGTTCTGACCTCGCGTTTGCCTTGATCTTGCGTTTAGACTCCGAGCCCGAGGAGCAGGCCCTGACCTTCCCTGTGCCTTTGGAAAGGCTGCAGCTGCGTAGATCCAACCCCTTCTCTTCCACCTTAAACCTGCAAAACAGCTTTCCGGGGAGATCCTACTTTGAGCTCCGATCCTCGTCCCACCAAATGAGCTTGCACTCTTCTTTGCAGTCTCTCAATTCCGCTGGTGGGTGAGCCGAGCACGCCGGGCGTTGCCTGTGGCGCTGTGCTTCCGGACGTCCCCCTGCTTGTCTGGGGAGTCCGGTTCTTGTTTTGTTGCCGTTTTGCTGCTTTTCTTTTTTTTGGATTTTTTTGGTTCCCCCCCACGCCCTCCCCCATGGCATTCATGTGAGACGGGGTCAGTCGTTCTGTGTTGTCAGTGCCCTGCTTCCCCATGTGGAGGAAACGCTGAAGATGTGGACTCGTGCTGTGTTTGTTTCTGTCTTACAACCGTACTGGGTAGACAGGCAGTCTCTGTGCCGAAGCCGCTTCCTGAAGGCTCCATGGTCAGGGTGGAGGCATATGGAATAGAGAAAAGAGAAGGGAATTGTCACAAACGTGCAAAGTATGTTTCTGGAAGTGACATCATCGCGCCAGGCACATCGTCAGGGGACGCTCTAGCAATTGGCCTGAAAACTCTATGGTAACCATAGAGTTTTTAGGGTGATTGATAGAGCGTCCCCCTGGTGACGTGCCCAGCACAACAACGTCACCTCCAAGTGATGTCATCACACTGGTCACATGGCCATGATCCTGGCACTTTGGGGGGGGTTGCCCGCTTTAGGGCCCCCCGATCTGCTGGCCTGGATCCGGCTGACGGGGGGAACCCCACCCCCAAAGTGCTGGGATCACGGCGACGTGCCCAGCGTGATGACATCACTCAGAGGTGACGTCGTCAGGCCGGGCACATCACCAGGGGGACGCTCTAACAATCACCCTAAAAACTCTATGGTTACCATAGAGTTTTTTAGTCCAATTGCTAGAGCATCCTTTGGCGATATGCCTGCCGCGATGATGTCACTTGCAGGCGATGTCACTGCAGTGCGTGCACTATGCGCATGCGCCAGAAGACCCCGACCAGTGGCCTGGAGCCCCCCTCCAGCAGCCAGGTAGAACCTGGCAACCCTAGAGAGATCTAATTTCCAGGAGGCAGCTGTTTTGGCCTTTGAGTTGCTAGCCCCCCAAGTGGGAGCAGGGGATCCTCCGGTTTGTCGGGCTCCAATCCGCCGTTGACGAGCTGGCCGGCAACAGGAAGCCCCGCCCCCAACACCCAACGCCCAGCACAGCGTCCCCAGCGTGACGTACCCCGATGAGGCCCCACCCCTCCCCAACCCCCGCCTTCCCCAGGCTCCACCCCCCCCCAATCTCCAGGAATTTCCCAACCCGGGTTTGGCAACCCTAGTTAGGGCATTCGGTGAGCCAGGCCAGCCTTTATTCCTT